ATATAAACAAATGTCTGCTAATGCTTCGTTTTTGAGTTATTAAGTTTAAAGAAAGTTTACGTTTTTTTTTTTTTGATACACCATATTATAATAATGGTATTCGACGTTGCTCATATACACCACACACACACACACACACACACATATATATATATATATATATATATATATATATATATATAGAGAGAGAGAGAGGGGGGGGTGAGAGAGAGACTTGCTTACTTTGAAGTTCTTCGTGGCCGAGCAATAAAGCACAGTTTAAAATTATAATTTCTTTTAGAAATGCGGACGATGAACGTAATACACACTTTGTAATACATAAAAATTAGAAAAATGTATATATGCTTATGTGTATTGCGCAAAATATGCTATATTCTTTGTTGGAAGAGAGCTATGTTGATATAAAAAGATGATCTCTCAAGGCGGGAAACTGACAGTCTTCATGCAGTGTTGTTTTATATATTCACATTGCTTTTCTCTCTTTTTCTCTCTCTATATATATATATATATATATATATATATATATATATAGTGTATTAAAGGCAGCAGATCATTATTCAAACATATATTGTTAAATATAACAGACAACGAATGTCTATTATATTTGATCATGAGCCGTTCTAAACTTCGTAGAGTGGCTTTAGTTTCGGAAGAAATTAAAGACAAAAACTTGCTTTTGTCAACAAATTAATATCTTTAAAACTGAAATCACTTAACATCTACGTGTTCAGTATTTCTGCAATAAGTCATTTTATGACATTGTTCCACTCAAACATATTCCAATACATCTACGATTCTAATCTATATATTAAGGTTGTGGATATTTAAGGGGAGCTAACTCTGAAGTTTACACTTCAGTTTTAACAGAATACTGATTCAGAAAAGCTAGTGAATTACAAAGTTTCTAGTTCTCCGGATTAAGTCCATTCAGTAATAAATCCGTTTTAGCTCTTTAGCAATTTGTAAATCTCATATCCATTTTTCAACTTGGAAATGTTCACACCTATTTTCTTAATTTCTATCCTGACCAACTGTTGTATGCAAATGACTTTCTCGGTCTCTTTCTCTACACCTGGGTATTAACAGCAGAAGAATCCAATCATTAGAAATGAAATGCTACAGAACCATTTTTGGCTTTACCTATGTAGACCGCATTACAAATGATGCCGTGAAAGACAGTGACAGGCAAGTAACAGGCCCATTGGAAGAATTCATATCCATCGTCAAGAAGAGTACAGTTGAAATGATATGGAGACATCATAAAAGCTAACTGGGATCTGGACAAATACTCAGCTGTGTATCGATCCTGTGACTACACCGGATGATGATTATGATGTTGGCTAACCCTGCAGTAAGCTAAGATTTTTATTGATATAAAACTGTAACTTTAAGAGTAAATTACTAAACAAGACGTCAAAAAAGTAGTAGGTATTTAAGAGAAAGTTAATTAAGCTGGGTAACCTCTCTGAATACTCCCAATGTTTTATTGATATTTTACTTCATTTATTAGCAATCAATAGAAACTGGCTATTTTCTTTCATTGTGACCTGAAATCAGGTGCCTGACCATTAATAATACATTGACAAGGATATTTATAAATGAGAACTTCCTTTAAATTCAATGTCATATCGATTTCAGAAGGTATACCTTCCTTTTTTTATATTATATTTTTGATTGTATAGTATATCTATAATGTAGAACTTATAGCAATTTGGCAACCTTACATATAAGCAAAACAAAATAATTTCACACAAAAGAAAAGGAATTGATTTAATAATAATTCAACAAATTCTAAAGCATTTTTCAATTGTTGCCGTTACTCTTTAGGCATTTGTAGCGCTTTTCATCATTTTCACCATAAAATTAACTTATCACTTTTCTTAACTTTTCCTAACTTGTCACTTTTTCTGGCAATATTGCAAAAACTATAAAGATTTAAAGTTTTGAATTTGCAGAAGCATACTTCATTAGACACCTCTTGTATGCCAAAAATACTATAACTGCAGCAATTTCCGATTTATATTCACATTCCTCCTCGGTCTTTTGAACAGGAGTAGAGGTTTATCCTTTGTTTCCTGCTTAGCATTGAGTTTCCGGTTCCTTCTAAAGTGTTTTCATTCACTTTTACTTCCAGTAGCCTCTTGCGTCTTAATGGCATTATCGTTGGGATAAATTAATTAATATATATATATATATATATATATATATATATATATATATATATATATATATATATATATAAGAGAGAGATAGAGAGAGAGAGAGAGAATTAATATAATGTTATGTCTTTATTGCCTTGAATGAAGATAACAATCAAGAAGTACTATGCCGCCTGGAGACGACATAGTCTTGCTGAAATAGGTAGTAAGCAGATAAGCTAGATCTGTAACTCTCTACTTGTTTACTCTTGATATTTATTGTACGAAAGTACAAATAAGCCACATGGGCAAAAATTGGGATGTGGGGGGGAGGTTGCTCATCACTTGTCCTATTGATAATTTAGCCTCAGTTACTGACCCAATCGTTCGCACATTGTTCCTTTCACCAAAACATCTCAACTACACAACACTGCCATACACAGACACCATAATGCCACATTTACTCTAAAAACTCTTACCTAATACCACATGTACTGCCTTTGTGTAGGGCTTGGTTGATAAAAATATATATCCCCAATGTTCCTGAAAAACCATCTACACAACTAAACAAAACTAGTGTTAGTAACAGGCACCCCAACAATCTAATCATGGTGGAGATAACAGTTAATTGCACGAAAAATACTGCAGATTAATAAAATGATTTCCATGCATCCGTTCTACAATCATCCACACTAATCCCTATCCGAGGGGATGGGGATTAGTGTGAGAGATTGTATGGGGGGAGGGGAAAGGGAAATAAACCGAAGATAAAATGGGGGGGGATAAAAGGGGTCGATGACCATCCATACCCTAGCTAAGTTAAATTTAGCGACTTTAACCTAAAGAAAAACGGCTTACTCTAACCTAACATTAGATGACAAATGTTTAACTAATATCCTCGTTCTTAGGTCACCTCCAAATGCAATTCTAAATTAGCCACTCTCAAGCGAACCAAACGCGAAACACTCAACCACCATTCGCCGAATTTTAATGAAAAGACTCGCCTCCTTTACGCTCTAATTTTGACTTTAAACTGGTACTTAAAGAACAAAATTAGTTAAGAAGAGGAAAACTTCTCACCTCCATAAAAATCCTTCTGTCGTGTCGTCCAAATCACGACTTGCATAATACCGAGTAAACACAAGAACACATTGTGTTCATTCCTCTTCAGCTGCGGCAGAACATTGCTACAAATGCAACTGGCCTCGAGGACAATGAACTTTTCGCCCAGAATACGAACCATGTAACCTTCAATCAGTTCGCACAACGGCCGTATGACGCTACACTGGAAGAAGATGTGCCCCAAGGACTCAGCCCCTCCACCACGGCGCACGCACTTTGGCGTAACTGCCAACCCCACTACACAGAGCGTTTTGCCGACCCGAGAGCCGGTAAAGAAGGATGGGGTAGTTGTGCGAGTCAAAAAATCCGCCCTCCCCCGAGACAACAGATGAACTTCAGCCTCGGACTTTTCTCGGACCTTCAACCAATTCTTCTCCAACAGGAGGTTGGGACTAAATCAGATACTGAGGATCTTGAGAGGACTGTCCATCCAAGGATATTCAGACTAACTGAAAAATGTGACAATGTCAAATCTTCTAAGGTTGGCTGCCTGCCTTAAACATTGTCGGGAAGAGGATACCGATACCTCGCCCATTAATCCCTCAGCAGAATTGTTTTAATTTTTTCGTTTCCTCATTTTCGATGATATCCAATCGGGGCGTAATATCAAAACTTTTGAATACCTCCTCCACCATGGCTCAAGTCTGCCGGGACCCCGAGCCAGTCCGGATGACTAAGTACCTACTTGGCACCTGGGAAGTTTCGCAGGTCATCCACATCTTTGTCCCCAAAGGACTGACAGCAAGTATTTAAGGGCCTTAATTCTGTTCCCATACTGCTTCGCTTTCTCTGATTGGCTCGGGGACACACGGCAGACATCCTCTCCGGTGCTGTATGGCAATTTTGCCTTACTTTTTTCTTTTGTTTCTACGGATCGGCTTCTATGCTTCTTTTGCGTGTTTTTGGGTGTTGGAGGCGGAGATTGGGCAACAGCGGAAAGAGCGGGAACGGAAGGTGATGCCATACAGGGAGTGTGAACCCCTTTTAAGGGGGAGACCTTTAAAACGGTTGGAGTCACTGAATGATAACTAGACATTTTGTGGTGATGGGGAAGACGGGGCAGAGGCTTAGGGGCGAAGTTTCGCAGACGGGCCCTCCAGGAATTACACCATCCACTCATCAGGGGATATCAGCAGTTGACTTCTTATATTTTTCGATTTTTCTTTTTATATGCACTTTTCATTCGTGTAAGTATTTTTTTATTTTCCATAGTGTATGTCTGCCTTCCCGCGTTTATGCGTGTATGTGCGTACGTGTAGAATATCAGGATTATTTATCCTTTTCGTGGTTTTATTTTGTTTATATATATATATATATATATATATATATATATATATATATAAATATATTTTTTTAAGTATCACGATTGACTACCCATTAAGGCAACGCGCTCAACGCCTCGACACACAGACAACACGCAGATGGCCGCCCAATAATAAGACGCTGTATCAATTCATTTGGGGTAAATATAATTCTCTGATGAATGCGGTATGGATTCTTTTTTGATTATACACACTTAAATGTACACAGATATATCCTTCTTTGTTTTTCAAAGAAATGTTTTATGAACTTGAACTTTGTCTTAATAATGTATTACTTTAAGCAAGTGAAGTGATCACAGGAAAAAAAAGACTTTCCTATTCTAAAAGATCTGTTATTTTTGGCGTATTGTATATCCTCATTATCTATGGTACTTTTATCCTTTTTATGCTGAATCTCATTTTTCCTTGGCTTAAATCCACACCACGTTGAAACACCTGTTCCCGTACGATCACCGAAGCAATGACAGGCCTGGCCAGTACCTAGATGGGTAACCGCTTGGGAATATCAGATGATGTAAGCTTGGATGTTTGTGTGGTGTAATGGGTAATGGGTTGGAATTGTTAATTGGAGAACCGAGATCTAATTCCAGTTGGTTTTGTTGTATTCACATACGTGTAAATACCCTTGGGAAAGGCATGAATCCACTGTTTCTTCCTCCAGCTATAAGACTTGTATCACTAAACTATTATTACCTCAAAAAATTATAAAAATATCTAAAGAATATTTTTTGGTTTTAAATAACTTGCAAAGGGTTCATAAGCCGTGAAAAACGAATCAATAAAACCATTTTTCATTGCAGCATTTAACTTCTGTATAAGTTTTTACTATATTTACATATTTTCTACCTTCAATCTGTATTTGCATAAAATCTCGCATTTCGTATGAGTGTTTGCGTGAAAGTTATTTTTTAAACCATTTTTACATTGCCTCGTTGTGATAAATTACATCCTGCAGCAAGGACTCTGATCGGGGGATTGGGGTTTTTTAGGAGCTTGGTACCACCTATTAATTGTTGTTGTTACCAGGTCCACCCTGGCCCGGGGTGGTAGCATCTGTTATGGTTCCACCTATGGATATATAATGTAGTCCCAAACAAACATTATAAAAGTATAAAAATACATTTTATAATAAAAATACTTGCAATACATTTTATATAAAAAGGACCAATACATTTATAGTAAAATAACTAACAATACATTTGAAAGCAGAATACATTTTATCTGTAATTGAAAATATACGATTGCTTTCAAAATATATTTAGTAGAAATCATAAAATTGTGTTCAGATTATTTAGATTGCGGCATTAAATAACCCATAGAGGTTTTGATATGCCGCTAAACAAAATCAATCATCCAGCCTCGTTGTGTAACTCTTTTTTACTATATTGTTTCAAAGAAATGAAGTCTAATTTCGCCAATATAAGTTTTAACTTTCAGTAGCTTCTTCTGTGTCGACTCCATTTTTCTTCTGAGTAAATATATTTTTATTAAAACATAAGGGACTGAGAAAAGCTGTTCAAAATCTTCCATTACTGTTTCATATTATGAAGCTTCCATTATTGTGTCATATTACGAACCTTCCATTATTGTGTCATATTACGAATCTTCCATTATTGTGTCATATTAAGAACCTTCCATTATTGTGTCATATTACGAATCTTCCATTATTGTTTCATATTACGAAACTTCCATTACTGTTTCATATTACGAATCTTCCATTATTGTGTCATATTACGAACCTTCCATTATTTTTTCATATTGCGAATCTTCCATTATTGTGTCATATTACGAATCTTCCATTACTGTTTCATATTACGAATCTTCCATTATTGTGTCATATTACGAACCTTCCATTATTGTGTCATATTACGAATCTTCCATTATTGTTTCATATTACGAAACTTCCATTACTGTTTCATATTACGAATCTTCCATTATTGTGTCATATTACGAATCTTCCATTATTGTGTCATATTACGAACCTTCCATTATTGTTTCATATTACGAATCTTCCATTATTGTTTCATATTACGAAACTGCCATTACTGTTTCATATTACGAATCTTCCATTATTGTGTCATATTACGAATCTTGCATTATTGTGTCATATTACGAATCTTCCATTATTGTGTCATATTACGAATCTTCCATTATTGTGTCATATTACGAATCTTCCATTATTGTTTCATATTACGAATCTTCCATTATTGTTTCATATTACGAAACTTCCATTACTGTTTCATATTACGAACCTTCCATTATTGTTTCATATTACGTATCTTCCATTATTGTGTCATATTACGAATCTTCCATTACTGTTTCATATTACGAATCTTCCATTATTGTGTCATATTACGAACCTTCCATTATTGTGTCATATTACGAACCTTCCATTATTGTTTCATATTACGAATCTTCCATTATTGTTTCATATTACGAAACTTCCATTACTGTTTCATATTACGAATCTTCCATTATTGTTTCATATTACGTATCTTCCATTATTGTGTCATATTACGAAACTTCCATTAATGTTTCATATTACGAATATTCCATTATTGTTTCATATTACGAATCTTCCATTATTGTGTCATATTACGAAACTTCCATTACTGTTTCATATTACGAAACTTCCATTACTGTTTCATATTACGAACCTTCCATTATTGTTTCATATTACGAATCTTCCATTATTGTGTCATATTACGAACCTTCCATTATTGTGTCATATTACGAATCTTCCATTATTGTGTCATATTTTCACGAACCTTCCATTATTGTTTCATATTATTGTTTCATATTACGAACCTTCCATTATTGTGTCATATTACGAATCTTCCATTATTGTTCCATTATTGTGTCATATTACGAACCTTCCATTATTGTTTCATATTGCGAATCTTCCATTATTGTTTCATATTACGAATCTTCCATTACTGTTTCATATTACGAATCTTCCATTATTGTGTCATATTACGAACCTTCCATTATTGTGTCATATTACGAATCTTCCATTATTGTGTCATATTACGAACCTTCCATTATTGTGTCATATTACGAACCTTCCATTATTGTTTCATATTACCATTATTGAATCTTCCATTATTGTTTCATATTACGAATCTTCCATTATTGTTTCATATTACGAATCTTCCATTATTGTTTCATATTACGAATCTTCCATTATTGTTTCATATTACGAATCTTCCATTATTGTTTCATATTACAAATCTTCCATTATTGTTTCATATTACGAATCTTCCATTATTGTGTCATATTACAAATCTTCCATTATTGTGTCTTCCATTATTGTTTCATATTACGAATCTTCCATTATTGTGTCATATTACGAATCTTCCATTATTGTTTCATATTACGAATCTTCCATTATTGTTTCATATTACGAACCTTCCATTATTGTTTCATATTACGAATCTTCCATTATTGTTTCATATTACGAACCTTCCATTATTGTTTCATATTACGAATCTTCCATTATTGTTTCATATTACGAAACTTCCATTATTGTTTCATATTACGAATTTTCCATTATTGTTTCATATTACGAATCTTCCATTATTGTTTCATACTACGAATCTTCCATTATTGTTTCATATTACCATTATTGAAACTTTCCATTATTGTTTCATATTACGAACCTTCCATTATTGTTTCATATTACGAATCTTCCATTATTGTTTCATATTACGAAACTTCCATTACTGTTTCATATTACGAACCTTCCATTATTGTTTCATATTACGAATCTTCCATTATTGTTTCATATTACGAAACTTCCATTACTGTTTCATATTACGAACCTTCCATTATTGTTTCATATTACGAATCTTCCATTATTGTTTCATATTACGAAACTTCCATTATTGTATCATATTACGAATCTTCCATTATTGTTTCATATTACGAATCTTCCATTATTGTGTCATATTACAAATCTTCCATTATTGTGTCATATTACAAATCTTCCATTATTGTTTCATATTACGAAACTTCCATTATTGTTTCATATTACAAATCTTCCATTATTGTGTCATATTACGAATCTTCCATTATTGTGTCATATTACGAATCTTCCATTATTGTTTCATATTACGAATCTTCCATTATTGTTTCATATTACGAATCTTCCATTATTGTGTCATATTACGAATCTTCCATTATTGTGTCATATTACAGAATCTTCCATTATTGTTTCATATTACGAATCTTCCATTATTGTTTCATATTACGAATCTTCCATTATTGTTTCATATTACCAATCTTCCATTATTGTTTCATATTACGAATCTTCCATTATTGTTTCATATTACAAATCTTCCATTATTGTTTCATATTACGAATCTTCCATTATTGTGTCATATTACCAATCTTCCATTATTGTTTCATATTACGAATCTTCCATTATTGTTTCATATTACAAACCTTCCATTATTGTTTCATATTACGAATCTTCCATTATTGTTTCATATTACGATCTTCCATTATTGTTTCATATTACGAATCTTCCATTATTGTTTCATATTACGAACCTTCCATTATTGTTTCATATTACGAATCTTCCATTATTGTTTCATATTACGAATCTTCCATTATTGTTTCATATTACGAACCTTCCATTATTGTTTCATATTACGAATCTTCCATTATTGTTTCATATTACGAATCTTCCATTATTGTTTCATATTACGAAACTTCCATTATTGTTTCATATTACGAATCTTCCATTATTGTTTCATATTACGAATCTTCCATTATTGTTTCATATTACGAAACTTCCATTATTGTGTCATATTACAAATCTTCCATTATTGTTTCATATTACGAATCTTCCATTATTGTGTCATATTACGAATCTTCCATTATTGTTTCATATTACGAAACTTCCATTATTGTGTCATATTACGAACCTTCCATTATTGTGTCATATTACGAATCTTCCATTATTGTGTCATATTACGAATCTTCCATTATTGTTTCATATTACGAATCTTCCATTATTGTGTCATATTACGAATCTTCCATTATTGTGTCATATTACGAATCTTCCATTATTGTGTCATATTACGAACCTTCCATTATTGTTTCATATTGCGAATCTTCCATTATTGTTTCATATTACGAATCTTCCATTACTGTTTCATATTACCAATCTTCCATTATTGTTTCATATTACGAATCTTCCATTATTGTGTCATATTACAAATCTTCCATTATTGTTTCATATTACGAATCTTCCATTATTGTGTCATATTACGAATCTTCCATTATTGTTTCATATTACGAACCTTCCATTACTGTTTCATATTACGAATCTTCCATTACTGTTTCATATTACGAACCTTCCATTATTGTTTCATATTACGAATCTTCCATTATTGTGTCATATTACGAACCTTCCATTATTGTGTCATATTACGAACCTTCCATTATTGTTTCATATTACGAATCTTCCATTATTGTTTCATATTACGAAACTTCCATTACTGTTTCATATTACG